TTAGTCACAAACTTGTTTTCATTATAAGTTAACAGCAAAGTTGTGAGGGAGGGACTAATCCTCACCCACTTTCAGTTTTTAGTGGCTACAAGTATCGACCCAAAGAATTTAAGAATTTACTTATGTCAGTACGCAAACGTCCTTGATGCCCAAGGGGCTTTGCAGGCATGAACTGGGGGATCCTGTCCCTACCCCTCACCCCTCAATCCCCACCCTGAGTGCTGGGGCTAAGCAAACCCGAACTGGAAAACAGGAACAAAAACTGAGAATGGCCTGAGATTCCAATTCTTCCAGTCAAAACTTGAGTTTTAGGGGGAAATAGTTACATTCTTGCACATGTAATTTCATGAGTGACACATTTATAAGCACACGTACTAGGAGAAACCTGAGCAGAATTACCGCGAATAGCCAAGGGGCAAGGCAAAAACGCTGGGAAAGAGAATGCTGTCACCTGGGTATAAATCCACTGACAAACTCGCCGCAGATTGTAAGGCCCTTTGCTTTCTTCTTGGACTTTGTCTTCATTAAAAGATCATCCCCTGAAGATTTCAATAAGCGATATCATCATTCAATCCACCCCACTTGGCTAAGTACCACTCTTTCAGCTCAAATCTCAGTAAGCAAAATATGAATCAAATAAAGTAGCCTGGCGTGGTGGAAGACGCATGATATTTGAAGTCAGCCACGTCTGGGATCCAGCCCCAGCCCAACTCCATGCAGTGAGCAGAGCAAGCCATGTGACCCTCCATCCACTTAGCCACAAAACGAGGCATCAGATTCACCAGAGGGTTGTAGGAAGTATATGAGAGGCTTGCGAGAAGCCCCTTGACAACTACAAAACACACTTAGCTGCTGATTATCTAAAAGTCTCTTATCTCAATGCCGTAGCTTGGCAGCCTTGACTACCTAAAAGATTAGTACTTGTCTGTAAAATTAATTTTTTAAAAACCTCTACCCAGTGCCTCTCTTACACTCCGCTTTAGCCTGCGATGACAGCGAACCTTTATCAAGTGCTGGCAATATGGCAGGCACTGCTTCAGTGCTAAAATGAACCCACTCGCTGAATTCTGACAACACACCTAGGGGAAGGGACTGTTACTGTTTAACCCCATTTCATGGATAACAAAACCGAGCCCCTGAGTTTACTGTGAGTTACTGGCCAGCTCAGTAATGTGCCCGTGGTTACGAAGCTCGCGGAGGGACTGGCAGGGATTCCAGAGCAGGCCAGTGCGCTAAGCGAGTCCTCCTGTGACTTCTTGTTTGCTTCTGCCATTAGCCATCGAGATCAAGGAAAGCGGGGGCCACGTCCCTGCAAAAGCAGGTTCTGAAGACACATTGTCGAATGGGGTGTTCCGTGCAGAATGCCAGGCCTGGGACCAGCCCCCGTCTGTGGAGTGAGTAAGCGGAGCCCGGGAGCCCGTGGGCGAAAGGGGATGAGGGATGGTGAAGTCATGATGCCGAAGGGATGGGCTGCCTGGAACAGCCACGGAGATTTGCACTTTTTCAACACATCTAGACGTGTCACGGTTTGTCTTCTCTCGGGGTCATGATGGCGCCGTGATAACTAAAAATAATTCCCAGACCAAACAAGCAAAGCCAGGAGAAGCCCATCTATAACCACCCGGCCTATCTGGGCCACCTGCAGACCTCAGGGGGCGCTGAGCAGTGGGTCTGCAAGGAGTTTCAAGTATCTGGCCCAGCCCGGTGGGGGGGATTGTTTGATAACTAAATAACCCATAAAGAGATACAGGAGATTACGAAGACTAATGAGGAGAGGAGGTCTTTTTCTACGCGGGAAGGAGAGGCCTCGGTCCTCACACCAAGGGAGTGTTCCAGGCCTGGTCTGTGGGAAGGAGGTTGAAGGATGACTCCACCTGGGGCCCGGCTCCTGCTTCCTCCCCGGGGAGGTGAGGCAGACCCAGAGCCGGCGGGGCGGGAGGCGAGTAAGGAGGGCTCAGTGGACTCCTCAGCGGCGGCTTGTTGCCAGGATTTCGATTTCCCAAGGGTAGTTAGAATCCCGACTTTTCTGTGAAAGCTCTCATCTTCTGTTGGCAAGTGGGTTGCACTCGCCGTGGGAGGCGAGCCGCTGAGGTCTGCAGGCCGGGTCTGGCGCAGGCACCGAGGAGTCGGGGACGGTGATGAGTCAGCACCGGCCGCCCAGCCGGGGTCGGAGCGCGGCGGCCGTGAGAGCCAGGAGAGGGCACCGCCGCCAGGTGTGCGCGGGAAAGGCCTGCGCCTCCTGCTCCCCCAGGCCGCCCGTGCGCTGGAGGCCGCCTCCCTCCGCCCCGCACCGGCCGGCTCCGCTTTCCCAGCGAGTCGGCTCCCGCCACCTAGCGGCGCCACGGGAAGAGCCGCAGGTTTTTTGTTTGTTTTTTTTTTTTTGAGACAGAGTCTCACTGTGTTGCCCTGGCTAGAGTGCCGTGGCGTCATCCTAGCTCACAGCAGCCTCAAACTCCTGGGCTCAAGCGATCCTCCTGCCTCAGCCTCCCGAGTAGCTGGGACTACAGGCTGTGCCTCCATGCCTGGCTAATTTTTTTTTCTATATATTTTTAGTTATCCAGTTAATTTCTTTCTATTTTTAGTAGAGACGGGGTCTCGCTCTTGCTCAGGCTGGTTTGGAACTCCTGAGCTCAAACGATCCGCCCGCCTCGGCCTCCCAGAGAGCCAGGATTACAGGCGCGAGCCACCGCGCCCGGCCGAGCCGCAGGTTTTAAAGCGCGTTGACTCCGGCAAAGCGGACGGTAACTTAGCGGTGCTGTGGGCTGAGGGCGACGGAGATGCCAGAGCCGAAGCAAGTCATCACCAGTGAAATCGAAGCCACGCTTTGGCTGAGCCTAAACTCAGAGCTTCAGCGGGATGATGAGCTGGAGTCGGAGGGAAAAGGGGCTAAGCTTTGTTTTGCTGTTTTCTCAGGCCGCCCGGTCTGTCGGTCTGTCGGTCTGTCGGGCAGAGCCTGTGGCCAGAGCGGGTGGAGTAGCCCCCACTTGGGGGACCCCCCCGGCCCAGACCGAGGAAGGCCGCCTCCTCTTGGAATTGCCAGCCTTCTTCCGTTAAGCCTCCTGAGAAATCCCAGATCAATGTTTGTGGCTGCCTATATCCTGCGGCACAAGGGTGTTTATCGTGTTTAAAATCTATTACATTGTGTGTGCTCTTCAAGCTGCCTATTTGAGTATTTTCCCTTCATTTGAAATGTCGCTTCCCATTCCTCTATTTTGGAAAAGGTCAAACTCTGCTTCTACTGTTTCCAAACTATGTTGACCCACAGGAATATCTAAACAAAAGTGTTTTTCTGAAACTTCTTTGCTTGAGGAAACCTGTCCTGTCTCCTCAGAAAGAGCCCCCTCCCACACCTTAGCATCAGTTGACCCCATGTTCATTCGATAGACCTCGGCAGTTTCACAGGCCTGTGTGTGTTGCGTCCTCAGGTTAAGCTGCGTAAGCCGGGGGCCTGGGTTTTGTGTTTCCTGCCTTCCTGGAAGGCCCAGTGAAGGTCCTGCACACATTCATTTGGATACTCAGCCTTCCTGCCCACAATCAACAGCATTTTTACTGTTGTTATTGCTAGAAGGGCAGGCGAGTACTCCAGTGTACTGTTCAGCTTTTGAGTACTTGGTTCACGACGGTATGTTGAGAATATTACTGCTAAGCCAACTGGAAAGTTTAATTTTGGTGATACCTCTGCATGTAGAATAAAATGTCCAGATCTCTGGAAAGTCGTTAGAAATACAAAAGCACTCCCTAGAGCAGACACAAACGATCAGGGATTTGCAGATCTTCACTGCATCTTTAACTTCCACTTTCAGGAAGGGCAATTTTGTTTCAAGTCTGTGGTTTTCCAGTTATAAGATGATCTGGGTCTGAATGAGCACGAACAGGGCAGTGAGATTTATCACCAGCCCTTTCTCGGAGCTTTGCCTGCGCCTGGTGGTGCTACCACGTAGCAGTCTGGACAGGGAGCGGAGTTGCAGGGCTCTTAGCAGATACACCCATACGGCAGAGCAAAAAGATGAAGGGGAGGGAGGGACTCTGGACGTGAGGTTGTGCAGAAAAGAATTCCCAGGATGGTTGAGAGTAGCAACCAGAGGCCCTGGAAACTCCCAAGAGGCCAGCAGACTTCACTGGGCAGAAATCCAAGGAAAAAGTTACCCCTGGTTGTCTCTAAGAACGGTGGATGCCAATAGGGAATGGGGACAAACGGGAATTTCTAGAGTCCTTGTAAACTTAAAAGTCATATTAAGTGGAATTACTTGAGATCAATAGGGAATATCTTAATCTGAACTTTCCCAATGAGCAACTGTAATCTTACGGCTTGCAACTCAGGTCAGAATTAAAAGGGAAAATACCCTTCAACGTCTTTGAGAGATGGGGAACTATGCATTTTCATAGTAACATCAAAATGGTTATTAGGCCATTGCCTTCTGCATACCCGTCACTCCTGGAAAGAAGCTGGTCTGAGAAGCTAAGATCCAAGAACAGCTGGGCCTAAGGCCTGGCAATTTGCTTACGTGTTAAGGTGACTGTCCCATCCTCTAGACTCCACCAAGACTCTGCCCAGGCCTCAGAGGAGGGATGCAGGGAGGATGAGGAATCAGATGGGAGCCAGGGAAGCTGCAGGGGTGGGTTCCCCAGACACTTCCGGAATGTGGAGGGGGCACTGTGGGCTTCTGGCACCTCCTGTGTTGGGAGCTGCTCGCTCACAGGAGTGGGCAGCTGGCAATGATCAGGGCCCTCCTCTGAGGCTGGTCATACACCAGCCACTTGCCCACCTTATGAAAGGGACTGAAGCTTCTAGTTTATAGTCTGGCTACAAGAGTGGCCCAAAAGGAAAAAGGCATGTCAACAGTGACTTGTATTGTCGTAACACAGAGGCACATTTAGATTCCGTTCCAGGTTAGCATTTTATGCCACAACCAATGTGTCGCCCACAGAGTTCTGACATGAGACAGGTGTATTCCATTCTGAGGCCTGCTGGGCTATAAGTAAGTCAAAAATGGCCCGAGAACTTAGGTCAAGGTGAGTTTATTGTCCAAATAGCATAACCTAATTGCATCCAAAACCATTTTCAAATCCATCTTCAAACTAGTCAGAAGAACAGGTTATTTTTTAAAATCACTTAACACTGAACAGATAAGACCTCTTAAAAGGCAGCTGACTATATCATGTCACCATCATAGCCAATACAACATTTTTTCGCCATACTTCCTAAAAACCTTTTTGTTTACACTGACCATGCTACTTTAGCACTTTCTAGCATCCCGACCAAATAAACACCCACACCTCTTATAGAGTACATTGTGAGAGAATAACATTGACTCGATATGGCATCACACTCATTTTAAAGCAAAAAAAAAAAAAGAATAAAAAAAAGAAAAAAAGTCCATGATGAGAAACTGTAACTGAGAGAGAGAAGAGAGAGAGAGATCTGAGGTACATGGTACAAGGGTAATGAACATAATGGAAAAAATCCAATGGCCCAGTGATTTGCTGGGGATGTAAGAGTTGGCCAGCAGTAAGAACTAAAACCAATGAAAAGTAAAAACAGAAATGTTTTTTTCAAGGACAGGCACCTGTCAAAAGACATTGGATACTGTAATGGCTACAGTCAGTAAGGCACTTTTTTTCCCCAAAGTAGGCTGCAGGCACAGGATGGAATGCTGCAGCGACAGCATGCATGGATACACGTGCTGATGGCTTCTTGAAACCTGAGCCAAGAACAGGGTCTGATAACCCAGCCAAGTTTAAAAGCAGAGACACACAAATGTGGAATCATTCTGGCTGAAATGACTATTCTGGGTTGTTCAGAATCCAGAATCATTAAAAGCCATGTGGCGTGAGGAAGTAATAAACATCCTCTTGAATCTTCCTATCCTATTTTGGTGCAAATGGACGGCTGCCGCGTGAACAGCTCTTGAAAATTGCTCCAAGTCCACACCAATAGAAGCTGCGCTCATTCTATAGCTACAGAGGGTTTGTTGGCTTAAGGGGACTTGACTGTCTTAGCACTATTTTCCCTTTTAAAGCTATTCTCAAGGTTGGACTGTCTCAAAGATAAACAAAGAGGAATCCTTTTGGCTTAGAAGCCAACTGGCTTACTCAGACTTCCTCCTCATTCCTACTTCCATTTCCCACACTATCAATATTATCTTCGTGAACTAGAAAATCAATTATTTACATGACATAAGGTGCAAGTCTACTTCTTCTCCCAGCCCTGTCCCCTGTGGCCCATGGAGAGAAAATTCCCCTGCCCTCTTTGAGAAAGTCATCCAATCCTGCCTAATGTTCTTAACCTGTCTGTCCCAGAGCTCCCAGGGCACAGTCTGGAGAGACCCTGAAGGTGCTAGACCGCAGGAAGGCTGCAGCTCCCTCTGAAGAGTCGCCCGTCCTGCTAGCAAAGGGATGCAGTGTGATGCTGTCAGGGTTGTTTTCTCCTCTGGCTTTGCCACTTAAGCCTCCGAGCCATGCGTGCCCCTGACCTGGCTGATAAAAGAGGCAGAGCCTCCAGTATAGAGCACATAGACCAAGGGTAACCAGGCGGTGAGACATGGTGTACTCTTCAGGGGGTCCTGGGGAGTTCAAAATAAAGCCTCTTACCAGAGCAGCCCCTTCTCCAAGGGGCTCGCCTGTCGTACGGTGAGGTGTTCTGCGGAGGGAACTGCCCCTTGCTTTCTCCTGCAGGCTTCTTGGCTGTTACAAACCCGCATGGAATTTAATTATGCTTAGCATATATTTTTGGCATACTAGGATTTCTTCCCCCCTAGGATTTGGCCAAAATAGGGGAAGGATCAAAATTTGGCAGGCTGGGGGAACAACATTGTCCCCAATGATGGAGAAAAAACAAAGAAGAGGAAGTAAAGAAGAGATGAGGAGACAACAAAGTAGAAAAAGACCAGACTAGATTTGGAACCCCTTTAGTGGGAGGTGAGAAATAGAAAAAAAAAAAGAGCAAATTCAAATCCATGGGGAGACCTGAACCCCTCTGGAACAAAAACTCCAACAAGGAGACCGAGATCCAGGGAGAGGGCGTCAGTCACTTGAACAAATAAATCCAGGATTCCTTCTTCCTTTTAAGCGGGGAGGAGGCAGAAAAGCCAAACCACCCAGCACCTCCCGGCAGCAGCCCGTTACCCACATCACACTAGGCCCCCAAGGTGGGAAAGAAAAAGCTAGAAGGACCCGTGGGCCCAAGGGCTACAGAAGAGTGGAGAGTTACAAACGGCAGGTGCCTGTTCCTTTCCTCCTTGGGTTCTTTCACTTGCTGCTTCTGTTTAAGCTCAAGAGTTGGTCACTGTAAAATGAATTTGCACCTCATTTTCTCTTTAGGCGCCAAGACTCCCACAGACTCCTGGGACTAGGCTTTCCCCATTCTGCGGGACTCCTTGGGGCCCAGAATAGTGTGCTATGCAAAGTAGGCTCTTGATAAAACACTGGCTGACTTGCTGGCTGCTCAACTTTCCTCATCAAAACTTCAGAATTCACCACCCACTGTCCCACAAGAAATTCCCTAGAATTTTAGGGTCATGCTAACTCACAAAGTCCTGAACCCTTCTACACACACTTCACAAGAGACTGACTCATCTGGAATTTCATCTCTGCAGAGAAGCAGCCTCTTTATCTGCCTTCAGCCACCATCCCATACCCATCTGACCTGTTTTTTTCTATCACGCCAACTCAATGTGATTTAAAACCTGAAAACCATTTAGTGCTTCAGCAGACGACCTGGCCTTGCACCGTGCTTGCCTGTGCAGTGAGAGGCAGAGGAGGGGGAAGAAAGCACCACCAACGCTGCACGCTGCAGACTCATCTACCCACAGATTCAGACCTCGGAAAACTTCGGAGATGATCCTGGACTGGGGGTGCCCATGCCAGGGAACGGAAAAGACAGAAGGGAAACTTTGAAGACGAAAGGGCCCCATGCAGATGAAAGCCCTGCTGTTGAAAAAGCTGCAAGATGAGGATCTCCAAACAGCCTGCTGGAATTCTTTTTAGTCTGTTTCCTGATACCTGGTACCTAAGTGCAAATTATGACTTCCTAGTCCACTGCATAAATGTTTGTGTTGAGTGTCTGCCTTGTAGGGGAGGGAGGATCCCTTGGTTCAGTGTATTTTTTCCATTATGATGAGGATACCAGAGTCACAATGGGAGCCTGATGGCCTTCATGACGGAAAAGGTCCCTGGGGGTGAGACCCTGGGCCAAATCCACCCTGCCTTCCATCCGAGAGGGTCGGTGTCCCGACCCGCTCACTTTGCCTGCTCCTCACACTAATGGGCTCCCAAGCACAAACTGTACGGCTGTGAGGTATTATGAAAACAAAAATGTGAATCATTGTCTTTCGTAGTTATTGATTTTGTCCAGTAAACCTGAGGTAAAGAATACTCTGTCTTTGAAGAATGTGATCAGAGAAAAAAAAAAAAAAACAAACCCAGAAAACCAAAAAGAAAAAACAATCATGAATATGCTACCGGAAGAAAACAAACTATGGAAGGGCTTTTCCAGTACGAAGAACTCATATCTCAACCATCTATTTCAGGACTTGGAATTTAAGCAGTAAAATAATATATTATAAAAATGTTTATAAAATAGCAGCACACTCTGTGAAACATTACAGCTAGGTACTGTTAATGTGAATAAGGATGAACGATCTTAGCTTCTTAGCAGCGCAAAAAAAAAAAAAATAATAAAAAAACTGAACAAAATAAAATGAAAAATAAGAGACCCTTAGATTTTTCTCCATCTTCATCCCTCATACTATGAAACAAGGCAGAATCTGTGTATAAAATAATTCTTCAAAGTAGCCCTGTTCTGATTTTTCTTTTTTACTTAAAAAAGGCAAATATTTTAACAAATAGCTTCATTACCTGTCAATTACAATTGTGCAAAAAAAAAAAAAAAAAGTTGTTGCTCCAACCTCTTTGCTAACTGAATGCCTCTAAGAAGTGGAGAGGAAAAAAAAAAATTCAAGTACGCTGAATACAACTTTGCAATAAAATTAACAAAAAACGGAAAAGGGAACAAAATGCCACACCTGATGTTCAGCCGCCTTCCTTTGCACCAGCAATAACTTTTCTTTCCATGTCCAAAGGAGAGTGTATAGATGGGAATTAAGATCCTTCTGCGCCATAAAAATGGTAACATCTTTGTTTTTAGGCTTTTCTGAGGAATGTTGTGATGGGAATGTCAGCAGAAAGGGGTGTCTCTTGAGTCCTGGTAGGGGCACCAGAACTATGTACCAGAGAATGTCAGAAACCGGAAGTGAATAGGGACCTAGACTGGGGCAGGACAGGAAGGGACAAAGAGAAGAGGGAAGGAGTATTCAGCATGATTCGCATAAACCATCCCATCTATCCCTCGGGAACAATTTTTCAAAGTGCTTTTCGAATGGAATGGTTTATAACAATGCTAAACTGTGGACCAGACATGCCAATCAGCACCAAAAATTAGTTTTTCCTAATAAGGGATGCCAAGGTCACATTACCCTCTTGAATACAGTAAGAGAAAAGATTCCATTCCAGATCCCGCCCTTGGTCTCCATCTGCCCCCGTTTCATCTGAGTTTTGGTTACGGCCCATCGCTAAATGTCCCCATTAGATAACAGTACGGTGGTGTCTGCAGCGAACCACATTTGGAAGAAGAAGCAGGAAGGATATCACACAACGTGAAACCCAGGAGCCAATCGCCTGTGTCCAACTGGCAAAATCAAACATTTTTTAGGTAGCAGCTACTGTAGACAGCAAAAGGACATAATGCAGAGATCCAACAACACTCCTGACTTAGTAACGGGTGGTTGAGAGCAAAGTTGCTTCTATGTCCAAAATGGTTCCATCATGTTGAGAGATTGTTTTGTACTCCCTCCCCATCGTGTCCCTCCTCATTTCTAATTCCTTCTTGAGTTCACTGCTTTGCAATCTAATCATGCCATAAATGGCGTACACAGTTCCTGGAAATTATACTAAAACGGGTGTATGTGCTAGTTCATAACATGAAAAAAAAAGTCTCCTCTAATTTGTTCCCATATTGCAGGCGTACATACTTTCTAGCTACTCTGCAGGTTTTCCTGTAAGCATTTTACTATTACTTTTATATAGTCAAACAATAACTGTTCGCATATACAGGGGATTCCCTTATGTTGTACTTCGAATAGGCACCAAATGCTTTTAATTATTCTGTTCTTATGGGACCTTTTTCTCTCACTTCTAAAAGATCTTTAAATACGATCTAGGTGGGGGCAGAATTTTTTTTTTTTTTTTTTAAGTTTCATCCTAAGACACGAAGAAAAAAACATAACCAGAGAGAAGGAGAGAGCAGATTATGAATGCGCCTCTCTCTTTCAGCCCGACTGGCATCCTCACAGGTCAATATCCCGCACGTCTGTAGGGGTGCTGGCTTGGTCCAGTTCATCTTCCGACTTGGATCCATCGCGCTGGTCCTGGCGGTACTGCTGCAGGCTATTGAGGAGCACCGCCTCGATCTGCTCCTGGCAGGCTTTGAGACAATCCTAGAGAAAGAATAGTCCAGACCAGAGCTGTTAGCAAGTCAAACGGGGCACGCAGCATTTTATGAAGAAAACATATACCATCCAGCTTGCCTAGTTCCATGCTAGTTTTCCAGTACACACAAAGGTGAAGAAAAGGAGAAATGTTCTTGAGGTGCCACGGAACTTCACTATTCCAAGTGGGGTCCCCAGGCTGGCAGCATTAGCACCACCTGGGAGCTTAGAAACAGAATCTCAGTCAACCCCAGACCAAGCTAATCAGAATCTGCATTTGTTCATACTCTGAGAAGCACTGGCCCAGAGGACGGTCCACTTACGGCCTGCACTGCCTGGTTGGTAATTAGATGTTTTCTGCCTGGGGAAGTTGGGAGGTGGCAGAGAAAAGGGGAAGGCCACTGGAGGTGCCGCAGGATTAGCAAACTCAGCCCCAAGGGATAGATAAGAAGGAAGACAATGGACTGAACTGCGCTGACCCTCACATAAGTTGTGTAAGGCCTTGAAAACAAAAAAATCCCTGATTTTCTGCTTATTTGCCACTTCCTTAACTCTCATAAAAATACAATGCAGAATGTTTACAAAATCCTGGACACCCGAGCCGTCTGACTTGGGAATAAACAAGAACATGCACTGCACTGCTTTCATATTAGTCTATATTTGGTAGGGGAAATTCAGAGTGTGTTTGCCCCATGCAGAAGCTTCTCTCAGGTGGGTGGCATGGAATTCGATGGCAAGGCACAGGTGTCACTAGGAAGGGACCGTGGCTCACACTGGTAAGTGGGCATAAGCTGAAGTCAGTAGGTATTTTCCAGCCTCTGCCCTCTGCCAGGCCGCCTGTCTGCACTCTCTTAAGAAGCACATACGTAAGGAAAATATGCTAAATTGAACCTCCCTGTGTCTTTCCACAGTTTAATACACACTTCCCTTTTGTGTGTTTCACCGTGCAACTTTCACCACCTAGAGGATACTATCTTGCCAAGCACTAAAGCATTCTTTCTTTTCCAAAGATCTAAAACAAAGTTGGAATTAACTACTGATGCACAAAATTTCCATACCCCTAACTTTTCCTTCCTATCTCTCATCTATTCCACATTTCAAACTGTGGCTTTTGTTTTTTTTTTTAAGAAATAATTCTAAAAGCAGCAAGACAAACTACAGCTTTTACTGAAAATTAAGATTAGGAATGACAGCAGACTGAGATCTGAAGGCAGAGATGAACTATCACCTGGAACTTACAGTAGAATAGAGAAAAGACGGAGGGTGGTATTTGCTGCCCACCCACCACTCTTGCAGGCGGCAGCTAAGTTATTTAACTTTTCTGATCTCAGCTTCCCCATCTGTAGAGTAAGGATAACAAAACACTCAAAGAGTCAAGAGCAACTGAGATAATATATGTGCAGTGCTAAGTGGCAGCCCAAGAAATGATCAGTCCTTATTATGGGTAACGACAAATCAGTCCCGGAATCCGATGCTTTAGATTTCTTTGAAATGAGGTGCGGATTAGCACTTGCTCAGGACTGGTGAAGGGGCCGCTGTGTGTCCGGCACTGGGGAGAGTGCTGAACAGGACAGATGTGACCCGTCAGTGGCAGTCTCTGTGCCACCCTGAACAAAGATGAGATGGAGTCAGACACTGGCAGACAAGGCCCAGCTAACGTCGCTCAGACTTTTCTGTGGCATCCTCTGCCCCGTGTGACCCCCTTAACTAGTGATTAGAATCTCCTGGGCCTCATCCTCCTCCTCCCTGCTGGGCTCTTCCCACAGTCCCTCTTCCAAGGCCCATGTGGCATTGTGTGCTCATGAGTCACTACTTGCTAGGTGGTAAAGGCTGAAGGTATAAATGCTTCTGGGTGCACTTGCATTTCAGTAGAAGATGTCTGAAAACCTTAAAGCCTTATAATCTAAAACAATTAATCTTAAATACAGAATCAAAGCTAATGTGGGGTGAACATGTGAGGCCAAAATTGACCATAGTCAACACGACTGGGGAACGTCCATCCGAGGTGGACAGTGAGTCTTGCACTGTCAGTTTTTCTTCTAATGCTGGAATAGACAGCTCTTTCTTCATCTGAGCACCACGTGAGGAGCTGATGTGTTCAGAGGGGCCGTGCTGTAGGGTAATACCCATCTTTAAGTGTTAGCAGCATCGTGGTGTGATGAGTCGCTCATCCCAGGAGACGTAGCAGGAGCTGAGACGGGGACGGCGGCACCGTATCTCACATCCCATCCTCCCTGCCTCACCCACTGCACAGACTCACTGATGCAATGTTGGGCCTCAGAATTTAAATTCAGGTTATTTTCTTCTTTCTCTCTTTATTTTTCGTGCAGAATAATCAACTAAATCTGAAAAGTTAATGTGAGACGCTCCTCTACCATGCTTCGGAAGGGGATGTTTAAAATTTTAAACAGGAGGCAGGGGGAATGAATCAAAACACTTCTATACCATAGAGGTGGTAACTATATACTTGCCTCCAACTGTATACTTTTTCACAGAAGACAAATCCTACCCAAAGCATAAGGCCTAAAAGCTTTTGTTATCTAAGAATAATGAGCCAGGTGCAATGGCTTGTACCTGTGATTTAATCCCAACACTTTGGGAGGCTGAGGTGGGAGGATTGCTTGAGCCCAGGAGTTGGAGACCAGCCTGAGCAATATAGTGAGACCCCATCTCTAAAAAAAAACTAACTGGGCATAGTGGTGCATGTTTGTAATCCCAGCTACTTGGGAGGCTGAGGCAGGAGGATAACTTGAGCCCAAGGTGGAGGTTGCAGTGAGCTATGAATGTGCCACTGCACTCCAGCCTGGGCAACAGAGTGAGACCCTGTCTCTGAAAAAAAAAAGTAATAAAATAAAAATTAAAAAGATGGCAGGATTCTCAGCTGATTGAGGGACTGTGTGTGTGTGTGTGTGTGTGTGTGTGTGTATGTGTGCGTGACAGAGGTGTGGACAACAGCTCTGAATCATTAAATTAAAAGAGAAATGCCTCTTAGGTGTCAGCAATGTGGTGCGCTTAAATTAAAGAGGGCTCGACGTGGCACCGCTGTCTGGCGAATACTTCCTGACGTGCAGCACGTGTGGAAGACCTTGCTCCTCGACAGGGAACCCGGTGCCTCCGCCAGTCCCGCCGGCTCTCCTTCCTCGGAAGCTGTGTTCTGGCCCCGTGGTGAGGTAATCTGGGGCAGTGCATCTTCTACCCCAACAGTGCGGCATCAGTGCATTAACCAGCCCAGAACGGTCCTCCAAATGCGGAGACCAGGCTCCAGAAGGCTAAAGAATTTGACTTCAGGCCATGTAGAGCCTTCCCTTTGGGTCACCAAGTTCCTACTTTTCCTGCTATTCGGCCTTCCCTTCCAGCATCCTGAGGCCTTAAAGGAACAGTCCTGAGAAAACTCTACAGGGAGGACTGGGACATGCGGCAGTCACCTCTCCTGGACTTTCAGGGCCATGGGACTCGAGATAACATGTGCGCGAAGAGGTCACATTGACCTACGTTCCAGCCAAAAACCTGTGCACAGGCCGTTCCGCAGAAAACGGAGGACGATTTTGTAGATTTCATACAAAGTGCGCACTCTCTCCTTTCCTTAGTCCACCCCACTTTAATGTCAATCCACATCACACCGGCCGTGCCAGCTCTTATCCTCGACCCTCCGACCGGAAGAGAACAGGATGACTGAGGCGGTTACCCTGGGATGAAGGACCCTGAGTCCCCTCCCCTGCTCTCTTGTAGACGCACCTGTGACACAGCAGGATGCTTAACCTCTCCAGGGGCTCCACCCAACCCTCCTTCAGGTTCTACTTCCCCACACCTTGGCAATTATTAGCTCGACTTTCAGCTACAGGAAGCCCTCATTCCCAGCTCAGCAAGATGAACGGCTTCCTGAGGGCAAGGGCCTGCCTTGCAGAAATGACGTGGAGCGCTGCCCCGGGGTGGCAGAGAGAGAAATCGGCATCCCCTTCCTGGAGACAGAGCTCACTTGCCACACAGCAACACCCTCCTTTACCATGGCAGGAGCCCTTCTTGGATTCCCAAGGGACACGTGGACTCTGAGCTGGTGGAGAGCGAAGGAAGAGGAGAGCGGAGCAGCACTGTCGTCACCTGTGACCGCACGCACCTACGCCACAGAGCAGGAGGGCAGGAGGATGCTTGCAACTGGGGCAGGGAAAGAAGACCCCTGCCTCACATGCAACCAGGCTGCTTCTGCTAGGGGGTCAGGTCGAGAGCAGAGTGGAGTTAAGAGTATTTCGAACGGGGCAGGATTACAAGACAATGCACACAAATAAGCACAGAATTGGACAATTTGGAGGTCCAAGAGGCATTTGGAGATCAAACAGCCAAATGCCCTCATTTTCTGGCCAGGGAACTAAAGCCGGGAGGACTGAAGTGGCTTGCTCAGTTAAAAGCTGAGCCTGGCTTTTAAAAGGGCAAGCCTCTAATTTCAGAACTCTTTTTTCCTATATACCTCTGCTTTTTCTAGGCTCTAAGTAAAAACACCCAGGCCAGAGAATCTCTAAGAAAGGGAGACACGGCCCAAGTGGCTGGGGGTTGGGGCGAGGGAAGCCACAGCGCCTGCAATCAAAAGATGCTACGTGCATGTAGAGTGCAGCAGCTCTAAGACATCAGCTTTCCAGCAGCCTCCCAAAGCGCCAGCCACTGTGTTAAGATGCCCCAAATTAAGCTGATTAAAAGGGAAGCCATAATACTCGTCTGTCAGCCCGGACAGGTGGCACTCCACAGCGCTGGAGGTTGGGCAAACCTCCAAGGGCTGTGATGATAGGCCCCCCCTCGCCTCCTTCCCGCCCGCTGCCCCCGCCCCCAGCCCAGCCCTGACAGCAGTGTTTGTGATCTCCAGCTCCGTACAAGGGCCTCTGACTTCCTCTGCTTGCTGGCTCGAGCTCGGCGCCCTGCACCCTCCTCTGCCTCCATGAATGGGCTGACGGAACTCCTACCATTAGCCCTCAGTGTCACTGCATCACTCTATTGTCACCACACACGCACTGCACTCAACAGGGGGACAAAGGGCTGAATGAGCCCCAGACCCGCGGCCAACTCAGGCAGAGACAACTTAGGAAACTATCTCATTCTTCCTTTCTTCACAGGCCGTTTGGCTTATTTCCTTGCATACCAAATGAGGCCCGGAGAAAAACGAGGCAGGAGAGGGAGGCATCGGCTCCCAATTCTATTCCACCTCCCCACCCCCCGCTTCCCCTCCAGCGAGGCTGACAAGGCTCCTGACCACAGGCCCGGAGAGTCCGCAGCGGACAGAAGCCCGCACAGAGCAGCCTGTAGAATGACGTGTGCCGCCCCGTGTGCCGGCGCCTCTAGCGAAGGAGGGCGCGACACTGGGACCCCGTGAGGCGCATGTCGGCGACATCGAGGCGTCGTCCGCTGCACTGCGAATTATCTTTTAATAGCCCGCTGACAACCAGGACCATACGCTGCCAGGATGAGCCGAAGGAAGGGACTTCGTGGAAGCTTCTCTGGGCAATATTTAGGAGTTCTGATGTAACCTAGCCACAAGAGGATCAATCTAATGACCAGATGACAAGGGTCTGTGTCTGTTCTGTTCAATATCTTCCGGTAACTTCGCTTACGGCCTGCGAGCCTCAGTTTCACTTTTCGGTTAGTGAATCCGTGGAGCCGTGCCCCGTGAAAATGGCCTGACCTGCTCGAAGATAAAGTCAGGTCAAACCCGGGATCCTGACACGTAACTCGTGTCTAAAAAAGACACAGCTTTCCAAAGGACACAGGGAGGCCAGCGAATCAGAAACACACTTGAAACCCATCTGCCTGCGCTTTGTCCTTCGCTCCTTCCTCCCTCCGTCCCTCCCTCCCTTCCGCGTCACCCCACGGCTCTGCCAGGGGCTCTGCAGAAAGAGCTGAGTAAAAGCTGGGTCTTATTCAAGAGGTTCTATAGACAAGGAACAGTGAGATAAACGCTGGCACTGGGCCCGAGCGGAGTGCAGAGGGGACGGAAGAGGACCCGATCGGCCTGAGGAAGCAGGACAAGGGTCACCGGAGACCCAGGACAGCGCCTCCTACCCCACCCTGGGCACCGGAAGCCCCGTAGAAGTTCCCCCACAGCCAGAACTGCCCCTCTGGCCGGTGTCTGTTTTTAGCAACTCTTACGACTGGAAGGAAAAAGTACTTAAAATATACCACCCTCTGAGACTTTTATTCCCTGTAAAACTGTCAGGCTCCTCACTCAGCTTTCTCTTTGGAATGAAGCGTTCCGGTTTATTTTGGCAACCAGACGGAGCAACAAAGACCGACTTTCTCAGAGCCGCACGGGCCCCTCCTATCAAAGCTATCCTCCGCCGGCCAAAGAGCTAGAGAAACTCGTCTGGCGTCTCACACGAATCCAGGGGACCCTCTTTCAACAGCTTGATCCCTGACAATCCGTGGCCTATCACCCAGAGCGCTAGAGAACACTGTAAGTTTGAAGAGATCATAAATAACCATGTGCCAGCGCAGAATGGCAGGGACTCCAGGGGAAACTGTCGGCAATTCCTGCTCGTCAGCGCACTAGGGCCAGGGGGCAAAATGTGGTCCGGCGCACGCGTGCCTCTGACTTCTCCAAGGGAGAGCTCACCGCAAACTTGCAGGCATTTCATAGCGTGCGCTGAGGACATTTTATATACATCACACATACATATGTATACTTACATCTACAAATGTATGTGTGTATGTGTACACACACATATATATTTTATCATGGCAAAATGTACATGACATCAATTTACCATTTTAACCATTTTTAAACGTACAGTGGCATTAAGTTCATTCACACTGTCGTGCAGCCACCAGAACTCTCCCATCTCCAGAATCTCTGCATCACGCCAAACTGAAACTCCACAGTCGTTAAACACTAACTCCCCATCCTCCCCTCCCCTCAGGCCCCGGGTAATCTTTACTCTACTTTGTCTCTGCCCGTTTGACTGTTCTAGGTTCCTCGGATAAGTGCAACCCACAGTATTTGTCTTTTTGTGACTGGCTTATTTTCCTTAGCACGACGCCCCCACGGCTGATCCGTGCTATAGCATACATCAGAATTTCATTTCTTTTTAAGGCTGAATAATACTCCATTGCATGTACATAGGTTTTGTTTCTCTATTCTGATGATTCAATGGGCATTTTCTAACACAAGGTTTACTCAGCTGGGAGGCCTGTGTTTTACATTAGGCCTATGAGCTCCTTCTTTTGAGTTGATTTCCCGCTGCATTTATAGCTCATAGCACATTATTTAGCATTCATCCGTTCACTTACGGTCTTCATTTGCTAGGGTTTTGCATGCTCTATTCTTGGTTCTCCACACAATCGCTAAGTTCCTTGAATGCAGGAACCTTGGCTTCTATTATCCATGCACCGAACATCCACTCCAACTTCCAGAACACGCCCTGCTCACCCCTACGCCTCGTAACAGAGCAGTCTGCAACAACCGAGGCTTCCGTAAATACTTCCAGAAATGAATGGAGGGTGAGTGCTTGAAATACGCCACTTCTTGACTTGTGAAATGGTAAACAGGGCTCAGGAAGCAAAACTCACCTCTGTCCAAATGCTAACGCATTCCAAATTCTAGTCCTTTCACTCTCCTTCACTCTGAGCTTCGGCTCTTTAGAGAAGACAAGCCGATGGATGGGAGGGGACTGAGCCCTTGCGGAGTTACGTGCACACAGCGGGGCTCCAAACTTTCCCCACAGACACTCGCAGGGAAAGGGTGAGCAAGCCCCTGGGGTACTAGAGGTAAGCATGGAAATTACTGAGGTCTCGAATTTTTACTTTAAAAAGTGGTATGAATTTTACATTCTACTCTGTTCACGCTTGGTTTTTAATGTTAACTAGGCCCAGTGGTGTGAATGAGGCATGCGTATGCATTCCCAGTGAAGAAACACAGTAGTGCCCATTACAGAAATCAGGTACCAACTCAACAGCTGGGGTGTACAAGAGGACACAGCCCTGCCGCTTTGTATCCATTCAGCCCTGTCTGACAGCTGACTTGAACGCACTGGCTACATGGTATCTGAAAAGGGCAAACAGTGTCTCCAGTGAGAGATGACAGACTGGTTTGCAGTCTGAAAAGCAAGGCACAGTGCAAGAGCCCGAGTGGCAACCCCCCGAGTGACTTCTGTCCATGCAAAACCAGTAAGGGGGACAAAGAGATGTGGGAGAAGGCTGGATGCCGGGTAGGGTGGTCAGCCCATCAGAGCAGGTCTATAAATATCTGAAAGAGGTTACCATGCCTCGGGGGTCAACCTCCCGTCACTGACATTTCTGTCTCCAGGGCTTGAGGAAGGGCTTGTCTTAAACTGGCTGGGAGTCCTACTTGTAAGGCAGCCTTAATAGGAGACATTCAGAAAAGGAAGGAAGTGTACCATTTCTATAAATATTAAGTTCTGTCCGCGATTTTTCTCTGGAGAATTAGAAAAGCTTTCTTCATGCTGCAGTGGAGGGGTCTTTTCAATCTGTATTTTAGAGCCCTTGTTTAAAAAGCCTATGTTTTGGAGCCAGCATTTTAAAAGCATATCTAAGAACCGTTCCAGAGGAGGACCCTGGACTTGTTCTGTCCAGCCCTTCAACACCTCCCTGTGCCATCTCTGAGCTGGTAACAGACGCCAGGGTGAAATACAGGCTGGGGGGGGGGCGGCGCGGAGGGGGAGAAGGCCAGCGAGCAGCAGCCTTAGGCTCTCTGACGTTTAACCTTCTGCTCAGGTATCCCATGTGGAGGCCTCCGCTGCAGGCCTGCAAGTCACATGATCCTGTAACTCAATAAATTCCCACATAGGGCATTCTGAATCCCCCTGGACCATCCGGAGGGTGTCGTGGTGAAGTTCCCCTGCATTCTTGAGCCTTTCCATGGCGATGCACGATGCTCCAGAGCCAACGCTCCTCTTTTGAGTTGCCTTTAAATCAGAAGCTTTTTTCAAACCCGAAGATCTCAGGAGCTGCAGCAAGGGTGCAGCGTAAAGTGTTCAGGCTGGAGCTGGAGCTTGGAGGTGCTAGTCCCAGCTCTGCCACTGCCCCTCCACCGGGCTGGCTACTGCAGCCCCGTGTGCCGCCTGTGGAAAATACAGCCACTGCTTCCCTGACCTCTCAGAACCATCTGGCTCAGACACCTGAGGACTGCAGTTTCCCACCCACTGAAATCAAGGTCTCAGAGCTTCAAATTGTGGCAGCCAGAAGTAATAGCCTCTGGGCCATCTACGGGGTGCACAGAGTGGAAAAAACCTACAGCTAATAAGTTTCTTGAATTTGTATGGTAATTATCTTTTAACAGTGTTCTTTAAAAGAGCTTTTCGATCCATTGCTACATTGAACAAAGTGACAAAAGGCACAGGAGTGACTGAAAGGTTTGCCAGGGCTGGACACCATTCTAGCGGTGAGCGCCTCGTGTCTCTGCGGCCTCCGCTGCAGCTGACTCTTGGCTCTAGCTGTCCCTTCTCCTCTCTGAGCCTTACGGCCTCGGCGTGTGTGAGCAGACACGCGAGCTCTATACCGTGGAGCAGAGGCAGCCCCACAACGTGTACAAATATGGAAATGAAGCAACAAATCAGACCCACCAGGAAGCCCACGCCGCAGAGGAAAATCGGTAAAGAGCCCTCCTGCCCTCCTTGTGCCTGCCTGCCGAGTTCTTTTCTGTACTTTATGGTGCACAGGCTTTCAAAACCTTAAGAGAAGGCATCACCTGCTGAATTTTGTGCGACCATGGATGTTGACCTTAGAAAAGAGAAACCAAAAACATGCCTCGGACACATCATGATCAAATCAGTTTTCTCTTTCCCTGAGCTGAGAAGAGACATCTGGTCTTAACCAAGAAGGTGGTCGCCACCTACCACATCCGTGTTGGTGATCTTGGCCAGCAGCTCAGTCAGGGCATCGCAAGTGAGCGAGCTCACTTCCTCATCCTGCTGGAGCCCACAGATGGCTGCCCCCACGCTTCCAGTTGCGATCATGGATGGCGGGTACATGGCGAACTTGAAGTCTGCAAGGAGGGAGAGGCAGAAGGTCAGGGAGCCCCCCAGCCTGCAGATACTCAGCAATAGGATGGCGGAGGGTCAGCTGCACTCGGACCCCTTCCCCTAGAGGCACATTCTCCCTGGAGTCCTTCCTTCACGAGAAGCCTTTTATTTATTTGCCATCACCGTGGCTGTTCCAGATTTAAAATGAGGAGACTGAGGCAAGGAAGGAAGAGAGGTTATCTGAGTGCTCAGAATGAATTCAGAGGACAAAGGCTCCAACCCACTAAGCTCCACAATCCTACGCGAGGTTAAGCACGTGCAAGGTACTATTCTGGACACCGGCTGGGGCAGCAGTGTGAGCGAGACGTGGTCTCCTCTGGAGGTGACGGTGAGGACAGAGCAGAGGCAGTCCGAGAACAGCACAGATAAGATACCCCATGTGCTGTGCAAGTGAAATAAACCAAGGGTTCCAGATGTCGGAAGGAGAAAAAGGTACAAGGAGGTGAGGGAATCAGGCAAAAATTTTACGAAGATAATCCATATGGGATCTTGCCATATTCTCTGTGTAAGTATCAAGGACTAACTTGGCCCCAAACAAAGATTTGATTAAAAAAAGGAAATGAAGTGAGAGAAGCAGCAAGGCAGGGAATGAGGGAGTGGGGACCCAATGGCCCAATGGCAAGGGTCCTCACAGAGCACCAGGGCAGAGGATAGGGCTTTAGTCAAGCACCAAGGATCACCCGCAGTGTCCGCATGACTTGGTCTAGACCTCATGGCTCGTGGGCCTGACAGCACCATTTTCTTGCTAGAAAAAAAAAAAGTGGTTTGCTACACAGAAGTGCAAAATAAGGATAAATCTGAAGGTCCTGAACCCCCTCCACTCGCAATTCTCTGAGGGCAAATACAGAGGATGCTCCTGTGAACTAGGAGGCTCAGCCTGGGAGACCAAACACCTTGTTTTCCTCCGAGCTCTCCCCAAAGGGGCTGAGTGACCATGACCCAGCGACTGCTCAGTCCGTGACGGGGAGAGAAGGACAGCCACACCTGCCACCTGTTACTGCTGCTAACGGCTACCGATTACCAACATGTACAATGCCTTGTACATTCCGCACCGTTTAATTCAAATTTCGACCATAAAAGGTGCGCCCAAGTATTACCCTAATGTTGTGAATGAGAAACGTGAGAGTTTAAGGTGCCCCTGCCTTGTGTTGATATGTTAGAGAGGTTACAGTTTTATCAGTCATCCTAGGGACAAGCCAGTCCCGGAATGGAGCAAATCTTCTAGCGTGTACTACCTCTAGTCTTAGCATGACTCCAGGGAATCTACTGTACAGAGAAGTGGAAGGTGCGTGTAGGGGCAGGGCAAAAATATTACATTGATCCTACAAAAAAACAAACCCCCTAGTCTTTCCCCTTCTTCCTATATGAGGCTCTACCGCGGAAACATTTGCTATGGAAGCACTTTTAGTGGTGAGCCCATCGCCCCCAGCATGGAGTCAGCGGCAATCTTAGACTCAACATGGGTGGCTGAGCCGTGAGCACCCTCCCCTCCCCTCCCATCTCGGCTGAATCCCATGAACGTGGAGCAAGCCGGGCTGTCTGCCTGTCTCCTTGGCTTGCTTTCCTTCTCCCCTTCACCAGTCCCACCTCTTGAGGGCCGTATGTCACAGCGCTGCGCCCCGGCCTGCTGGGCACCAGCTCCTCCTCTGCCTTCTCTGTCCCCTGGACGGTGTGACAAAGCCAACCTCCCTGCCTCCTGCTCTGCTGTAGGTCTCTTCCACATGGGTCACAGGAGAGCGTTTCTCTGCCCAATAACCTCGTTAGCTCCCCCCTGTGACATTCATAACACAAAGAGGCAGCCAGCCCATGGCCCTGGGCCCACAAAGGCCCTGGGTGGGAGCATCTGGCAGGGAAGGGGCAGGAAAGGATCCCCGGCCCTCCCTTCCCTCTGCCACAGGCCTCAGCCCGGGAAGCACCCCTCGCACGGGCAGAGCTTTGTTGTTCCACTGCTAGCAAAACCAACCTTATTTTTAGCATAGGAATTAACTCCTGGAAGCCAGGGGGCACGTGCAGACCAGGCACAGGAGTTGCCCGGGGGGACACCACCTCCCTCTTTGCTTTACTAAGAAAGTGCTCAGTGTCCCCTCTGGAACACGGGAAGAGAAGAACACTGCGCAGGAACTGGTCTCCCTCCCAGCAGCTCAGAGTGGCACTGGCGGGGCCGAGTGCTTCCACAGCAAGACAAGGAGAGCTGCTGGAGGCCAGGCCGGCTGCCGTGCCATCTTTCTGCTCCGCTACAGCAGGAGACCAGGTCTTTCTCTGGACCCCAGATACTGAGGCAACATTAGCACACGAGCTGGGTCTAGACTGTGGGGCCATGGCTAAGTCACTTCCTCCCCACAAGACCCTGGATTCCCATTTGTCTCTTAATAAGGGGTTGGGTTAGATCAGTGTTTTTTCAAACTTCCAGTTGCAACTCATTCCCGGGTCATGAAATTCATTTGTGGGTCGTGACCAGCATTTTTTTGTTGTTGTTCTTATTTAATGGAATAGAATAGGGTAGAAAGTATCAGAAGGCACTGCATGTAGCAAAAGCAAATACTGTTTGGGGAAACTTTTGTATCAGTTCGATGTATTTGTACCAGTAGCTTGAGTTGTGTTACAAAACATATTTCTTCCTTGTGGCTCAGGTCAAAGAGTTTATAGACAGCAGGCAGGATAAATTCCCAGGTACCTTCCAGCTCTGCTTAGCTCTTACGTGAGGGTCTGGAAGGAGAACGACTCCAACGGAAAAGAACAAGAGACAGCAGAATGTAGCACGGCTTCCGGCAGCCGGCAAAGTCACAAAGCATCCTTTTCCACAGAGCAGCGCTATTTCTGCAGGGCACCAGGCACTGCCCCAGGACCACTCTCAAGGACACCCACCTCTTCATGGGTAGGGGAAACAGCAGAGAGAATAACACAGAAATGAAACATCATTTCATTTTTGTAGTAGCTTCATCCTTGTACTAGCTCTAGTCAGCCAACCTGCACTGACGGGTGGAAAACTCCACCCAACCTACGCAGCCATTCCTGGCTATCCAACAGGATGGAGCAATGTTCACAATACACACTTGGGAAAAGGGAGGGAAAATCAAATTGCATGCACGCATGCTATGATGAAGACTACGACTGTCCATAAATATATAAATACCCATACACACATGCATATGGATGAACTAGAAGGATACAGAGAAAATGAAACCTGTCCTGTTAGGTGGGAGAAACACGAATAAGCTTGTAAAATTTTCTTTTCATGGTATTTTAATAAATAAAAACCAAGTAAGAATCTCTCAGGAGTCTCTTAGTCAAAAATGCCAATAAGCTGTACAGAAGGCACACTTAGGGGTGAGGGTCTATCCTCTTCACCCACCTGCACAGGTGAGATGTTTATGACTTCTGAGGTCCCTCCTGCTCCTGCAGCCGAGTGGGAAGCGATGCACTGATCAGTGATCCATTCTGATCGAGTCATCACAGTGTGTTCCCCCCTGCTCCCAGCAGCATGGCTGAGTCCCCCAAAATGTAAAGCATCATTCCTGCTTCAAGGAAGACACTAGTCTTCTCAAGGCCGGGGTACCAATGCATTAGACAGTGACACAACACAGCATGGTGCACTATAAACGACCAGGTGTGTACTGCATGGGAGCTTCTAAAGGAACTTCTCACAGAAAGGAGGCATCTAGCAGAGGGAGCCCCGGAGACACCTCTTAGGAAGACTCTCCATTTGGCAGTAGGGCCAAGGACTCTGCGTGGGAAGGCGCAGGGCATGCAGGCCGGATGGCCTCCGCTCGGCGCCAGTTCCTACCACGCACAGCAGGGTCTTACTCCAGGCTGCTGCATCTGGGCATGTGAGCAAAGCAGGAGTAACCACACACCTTGCCACTGGGGGCAGAAGCTGTCCCAGGGCCTTGAGCTCTGGCTTACCTCCCAGCAAAGCAGACCTCCAAAACAATGCAGTTTACTGCTTCAGAGTATAAGCTCTGGAGTCAGCCTGGAAGTGAACTCTGTCCCACCACCTACAAACTGCGTGAAGATGAGCAAGTTACCTGACCCCTTCAGTCTCCATTTTCTCACCTGCAAATGAGGAGAATAGTTATACCTGCCTCACAGTGGTGTTCTGAGGATTAACTAAAACAATCCACATAAACGCACAGTGCCTGGTTCACGGTAAGCAATAAACGTCACTGTCATCCTCACCATTCTCACTGCTGGGACTTCCTGCGGGATTGTGGTGGGCAGTTCTGACTGCTAGAGATGCTATCTAGTGTCTGGGGAGGTGACGAGAAAGCCACCCAGCATCCCTAGAATGCAGGCAGATGCATAGAGCAGGCCAAGAACACTGAGGACAGGAATTGAGGACTCTGCACTTCCTGGGGATTCTTTTACTATCCGGTGTGTATGTCCCAGAAATGGCTCCATCAGTCCCCAACGCCTCCTGTTGCTTGTCAGGGGTGGGGGAAAGTGAGGCCCCACAGAGGGATGGAAAAAACCACATGAACACACAGTGAATGAAAGACAGACGTTGGCAATTGCACTGCTAGCACACCCCACATTCACTCGGATGTGGTTCACGCGGAGCGAGGACCAATGCCCACACACCAGGCGCAGCTGACATTCCCCTCCACCCCGCTGGCTGGCGAGGTGGTGGAGGCAAGGGACACACCTGAGGGGAGTCCCCGCTCTACGGACAAGCACCGCTTGCAGCCCTGGAGCGTCTGCGCGCTTGTTCACGGCGGTGGTGGTGATGGTGAGGTATTAATAAAAAGGAACTGAAGATTCACCTGTTTCAAACATCTCCTTTTACAGATAAATTGATGAAATCCTGGGAGATTAAGTGATTTGTCTAATGTCACTCACTATGGGTGTTGGGCCTGGGGTAAGACGGAGACTTTCGGACTCTGGATCCAGAGCTCTTTATAACTTACCAGAAGTTGAACAGCTCCTCGAGGTCACCTGCCACATACCACAAAGAATGCAGGGCAGTCTTATATCACGATGGAAGCGAAGCCCCTCAGGAGTCAAAAGGGTCCTAGTCCCCGCCAAGGCACCAGCAAGCTCCCAAGGATGCCACAGGAGCCCCTAGGGGTCCCACTGGGCTCCCTAATCTGGGCAAGGGCAGTGAGAAGTGCCCCGTATTCACCAACTTGGTATCAGCGTTTCTTGGTGCCCAGTTAAGGTCAGCGCCGACCATTTTGGCCTTAAGTACAGGAGCGTCTGCTGTGCTTCTGTTCACCACTAGGGGGCGAGAGAGAGACTGACTCGCTCCGAGGCAGAGAAGGGGGAAGCCCAGGTCAGACTTTCCCCCCTCCCCCCCTCAAAGGGGCCAGAACCCAGGTGCTCGCCGGCCGGCGAACGAATGGCGTACACACCTCATCTGCCCCAGAGCGGGGTCAGCACACCCTGTGCTTGTGGGGCAGGCCTGCCACGACACGCCAATGCCAGCGCAACTCCACAGGCCTCGGGGGAGGACACAGGCAGCCTGCTACTCATGCATCTCAGGGCCAGATGGGAAGTGAGATAGCTAGCGACACACGGCCTGTCCCCACGGGGGCTGGCGGAAGCACTGAGGCTCCCGGTTCAACATGCCACTTCCCCTCTCAGCTGTGGAGGCAGCTGAGCGGCTCACAGGTGGAAAGATGGGTGTCAATTCTCCCTTCTCAGCACACACCAGGGTACAGCTCCCATTCTGGATCAAGGACCAGGTCACCTAACTTCTCTGGACCACCACTGTCCCCCTAGAACTTTGGGGACGGAAATTAAGGAAACACCTACAGGCAGGCCGGGGGCACCGGGAAAGCACAATGGGTCACTGTCAACCCCGGGCTCAGGCCTCATGCTGGGAAGGCCTGGAGGGGGTACTTGTGTGCAGTGCAAACTTAAGGTGGGCTCCCGGTGCAAAAAGAGGGGGACATGAGGTGCCCAGAGAGGAAGGGTAGGCACCTCCCTGAGCCCGCGCCAAGTTCACACTCAATGCCATTGGCTCTTCTGGACTAACTGGAATCGTCTATTGAGCACGATATCACGTCTCAAGAATCTCCCAACGCCCGAGTGCGACCCTGAGTCATCTCAGATGGTCTTCTTTCCTCATTTGCAGGCCTGGGGGCTCTCTCAGCAGAGCTGCGGCCAGAGGCACTAAGGCTCCGTCCTGCTTCCCCAGCATTAAACGCGCCAGGAGCTGCAGCTATGAAGATCCCCACCGCCTCCCCACGTCGCCACTGCCCAGGACTTGCCGGACAGGGGCACCAGGCGGCTTGACGCCATCTCTCCCCAAGAAGCCATTTCAGGCTGAGCAGGGAAGGGCAGGAGGGCCCCTCTCTCCCTCGCCGCCATCTGACCCCAGAGCCCGGTAAAGGAAGACCGCTGCCCCACTACCCTTCCTGCGGCCCCTCTGTGCTCTCCGGCTCTCTCTCCTCCCCTTTCACACACACATACGCTCTCCACACACTCTGCACAACGACTGCCAGCTCTTTCACAACCAGCTTTTCCCATCAACCAGCCAGCCACACAGCCGAAGCTGGCTACCGTCTCCCCGGACCCCCACTCGCATCCCCTGTGGGCCTCCAGACCCCGGCTGCAGGTGCTTCATCAGCTCCAGGGCAGAACGTCCAGGACTGGTGGGAAGGAGGTGTGACGTGTCAGGAGCAGAGCTCAGGCTGGAGGATCTCCATGTCTCCTACCTTTGGTCCTCAGTAACCCAGCGCCTGCTGCTTGCCAGACACAGTCCTGGGCACTTGCACGCTTATCAAACCCTGGCCGCAGAGTGCGGAATCTCACCTCCCTAGAAGCCCTCAGTGTTCGTGCTGCCAGGCCGACTGCGAAACTCCCATGCTAGAGGAATTCTGTGTGACTCGGTCACTTGCACAAACCCAAGTGCCCATCAGGGAAAAAGAAATGCCTTCCTTGCAAGGTAGGCTCATCCTTCCCGGACCCAGGAAAACTTCTGAGAACCTCCCTCTGCCCTGAGCAGCCCATGCCTGAGGCTTAGGACTTGGCACACGGTTTTCATTTGGTCGGAGGTGTTTGTTCTCTTATCCTTCCCCACCCCCTGACCAAAGGTAGCTCAACGCCCCCAAAAGGCAGTCTTCGTGACTGCTTCTGTCTCCCTTCGGACCTCTGTCCTCAGACCCTGAATCCCAAGCTCCCTACTCTGGCCCCAAAGTTGGCAGCCAGCCCAAAGATCTGGGCTAGAAGGCCACGGATGGGGGATGGGATCCCCAATTTTAGAGAATGGGCCTAGACAGAATCTGGGGATCTGCCCACACTTGGGTAATTCCACCCAGCACCCCATCCCCAATCAGAGATCAGAGAGGAGGAAGGGGGTAAGTAGACCCCGAAAGATCTGTTGGTCAAGAGATGATGTCAAAGCAGAACTCTGGCTATCAACAGCTGTGCAATGGGGTAGCTCAGGGTCGGGGGTCAGCTGTCCTAGGGCCAGAGAAAACGGACTATCTGCCCCTCCCCCACAGTGAATGATGCCACAAGAGGAAAGGGACAGCCGAGCCTGGGAGACAAAATGACAGGTCAGTGGGGGACTGACCTCTCTGGCCCAGGCCAGGCAGAGAAGAAGGGAAGGAAGCCAAAGAACCACTACTGTCCACAAGGCAGCCAGGGTCCACAGCAGCTCTCACCCCCAATCCCCCACCCCAGGGCCACAGGAAGGGCCACTGCCTCTCCCACAGAGGTGCACAGGGCACATGTGCACGCCATGAGGCCTGATCCAGAAGGGCGGGACTAAAGAAAACCAGCAGCGGAAACCTGTCCTCTGGACTCCAGAGTAGAAGGCTCAGAATCCTACACTCAAGCCAGCAAGAGCAGAGTGCAGGGGTCCTGCCAGAGACAGGTGAGGGCAGCCGGAGAAGGGAAGTCATCATATCCACCTTGGCTGCAACAGTTAAAATCAGGGTTAAAACAGGAGGTGGTGGCATTTGCACAATTAGTGCCACCGCATGTACGGCCTACACATCTCCTGGTTCACAAAACACTTCCACATGCATCATCTCTTTCTGGTTTTAATTTTCCTACCACTCTGAAAAGGCTGCAGGATGCTTCATCAACAGGTTTGTTTTTAGACAGAGAAGCTGGGGTTCAGAGAGGTTAAACAGCCTGTCCAAGGTCACCCCCTGGTAAGTAGCAAAGCCTGACCTTTTGACTGTGAACACAGAGCATATACACTGTGTTGCACATTATATAATCATCTGTACAAACTCACCAGTAACATGTAACAAAGTATTGAAAACAGTTAATCTCTGAGTCCCACCTATACAATTTAACTACTTTCAGCAATTTGAGGTGAACCACCCCAAAAGGTCGGCCCAAATGGTCAGTTTTTTACCTAACGTTTCTGATTATGAAAACACGAACTCCTGACACCTTTCCCCTGGGTGATTAAGGTTCCAGGGTCTGTACCATCGCCACTACCAAGAGGAGAAACAGGCCAGGGTTCAGTACAGCAAGACGACACTGCCTTTAGTTTATTAGGAAAACCCAGAGCAAATGGGCAAGTAGGAACTATGTATCAACTGTGGGAGCAACACGGTGGGCGGGAAGCTTTTAACATGGAAAAAGCCAGTTACACTTGCTATGTTGAAGGCTGCAGCCAAAATCAAAACATGGCCACATGAAGTGAGGGCATCAGAACCCAGCACTGAGCACGTGAACCCTTCCTGAAAGCCAATCGGTTCACTCCCCTGCCCTATGGTGAAAAGGATTCCTTTGGTCTCCCTTACCACTTATCAGGGCAGGAGCATATTTATCTTCACATTGTTCCTTTAACCTATACTTGCCCCCCCCACCCCCAAATTTCCTCTTGGGCTTATCTGCAAGCCATCCTTTTCCTCAAAAGATTAAAGAGTTAAATGCAACCAGCGAGCAGTATATATAATCTTCAAAGAGCACTTTAGACATCATAAAGAATATTTTAACAGGCACTAATTTTTTCCCCTTGCCACACCTGTCCTCATAAACCATTTATGAGTTTAGCAGTGAAAGAGATTATAGCAGCTCAGATAAAGTTAAAGAAAAAGCAACCTAGGAATTAAACTCCAGACTCTAGACGACTCAAGACCACCCTCCCCTGAACCCCCCAACTAACAGAAACGTTTGTGCCACCTTTTGCCTCTCCCTGGACAGCTCCCAAAGAGCTCCTCACCCTCCCTCCCCAGCCCCAGCCTGGTCTTACCGGTGGCGCACAGGGCGATGAAGGTGTGCGCGTGCTTTCGGATCAGAGACAGCTTCTCCCTCTGCTGGGGCAATTTGCGCAGGATGTGCTCGATGAAGTCATGAGGAGTGACAGCAGCCAGGTTCCACTTCAACTTCCCCAGCACCACCAGTTCCCACTCCTGGCAAAGAAGGGAGGCAAGGAAGGGAAGAGTATAAAACCCACAGGCTGACCTGGTGACGGGTGCTGGGGGTTGGGATCCAGACCAGATTTAATGATGCTCATTAGGACGTGGCTGCTAGATTGTAAGGCGGGCCCATTTGTCAACCTGCCCATGAAGCTTTGAAGTTGTTGATGTCTCTTCTTATGCTTCACATGTTAGGCTCAACTGAAAATAATGAGAACCCAGGTAGCGGCTGCCAAGATTCTATTTTCTTCTATTTCTTTTCCCTCCAGCTCCCCAAGCCCCCACACCCTGACTTCCATGCAATACTGCTGCCTGCCCACCCAGAAAGTTGAACCTACAATAAGATATGGCCAAGGTCATTGTGGCCCTTTGGTAGTAGTTTACTGTATATGTCTTTATCGCTGGATTAATAGTCTTTTTAATCCTCATGGAAAAATGATGCATGCAGATAAAGCTCAAAGTAAGGTTCCTTGGCCCAACTCCTTAGCAACCAATTAGCTTGCTTTTACTTGGTGCCAAAAGGTACCATTTTTCTCTTTGCTATTAAAACTTTCCCCTTTGACACATCATGCACAAATCTTTGGGATGTGACATTCAGCCCTTTCACCTAAATGTTTCACAGGCCTTTGTCATCATGACTAAAGGACCGGATGGTCATTAGCAACCCCATTTTGCAGATGGAGGTGATTTGGGGCAAGGTGAAGGTGTTTGTTCTTGGTCCCAGAATCCCTCATTCCAAGTCCTAGGAGGACACAACCCTGTCTCTTTTGGGACCAGCAGCCCACCTGATGAAAAATCTTGTTTCTCTCCTTTATTGAGACATGAGAAATTGTGCTCAAAGGGAAACAGTTCAAGAATAAAAATTTAAAGATATGTATGTGCAGTCAGGGAGAGAATATGTCTATCAATCAGTCTTCTTCAGAAGAATGAGGCACAGAGACCAGCTCGCCAGTGTACCCCGCTTTCCCATTCACCCTAAGAACCTGGAATCTCTTCCATGTGTAAGACAAGGGCCAGATGCAAGCAGAGCCCAGCCCTCAGGCTGCAGTACTAACTAGTTGCGCAGCCCTCCCCCTCCCAGGCCTCAGCTTTCGCTCAGCTTTCTCATTCATATAGCAGGAGGACTCCTCCGCATCCCAACTTCTGGGATAAAGAGACAGGGAGTGGGAAAAAAAAGCCAAGTTTATTCGGAGCAATATAAATGAGCTTGGCTAGTCCTGGAAAAATTCGGGTGTCCTGAAGAACCCCTCGGTCTACCATCATGTTAGAAGCAAATGAACCAAATGAAGATTAGTTTTCCTGCTCTCCCATGAAAAAAATAGATTGGTCTCCAATTCTAACAATTTTTTCTCTACAAGCTTTAAAATCTGCCTTGTCTTTTCACAGAGAGACTAAACATCCAGCATCTTCAAAGGTGCCTCTCAGTCCCAACCCTTCCTTCTCAAAGGGGATTGTGAGTCCAAGCCACTCTTCTTGCACCATTATTACAGGAAGCAGATCTCCCAGAAGAAAGCACCTTTCTGGGCCTCTCGGACCAAACCAGAAGCAGCTGAAATCTGGCAGTGGTTCAAAGGTGAAGTCATTCAGGCCTCCGCATTCTCCGCAATGCCTCTCCCAACCGTGCGCATGTCTGCCACTAGATGGCAGCACAGCCCCAGAAAGGAAGGCTGCTCACAAAGAGCTCAGTTCAAGAAGCCGGTCTCAGCCCTGTGGACTTTGTGCAGGCCCTGCCAGTGAGGAGGAGGAGGGGGCGGGCAGAGGGGGGCCCTTTTTGGAAACAGTGCAGAGAAAGGTGTGCAAACCACTGAAGGTGGGCCTCAGAGGCGCTCTTCCATCCAGCATTGCTGCAATATGGCCGTCTCAGGTGTGGAGCTACAGGGAAAAGGAGTTAGACTCGGTGGGAAAAAAGTTCTCTGGCAGAAAACCAGAGTCGAGACAGGACCCCTGGGGTTGCGCAGAGGTCACACTCCCACTGGAGCTAAGAACTCAGGCCTCAGACTCCTTCAGTAAAAGGCCAACCTTTGACTTTGCTTAAAAGTCAATAAGCTGATATTTAGTGAACAGCTACTATGTGTAGGTATCTGGAGACTTCACAGGTATGTAAGGCACTACCTCTGAATGCCACGTTCTTAGGAGACACACCCTAACACGTTTCTATCATGTGAACACATTCCTAGAGTGTTGAGAAGTCAAACTATTTTCTCAGAGTTCGGTGTTTGAAAATTTGGAATTTAATTAAAATATTATCACTGTTAAAATATTCCATGCTTCCCTATACACATGCATGGCACACACCATTGCAAATGAATCTCACCAACCCAAGTCTCCATGAGAATCTTATTCACGGTTGTAGCCTCAGCGCCTAGCAGGGTACCCGGCACACAGTAGGAACACAAAAAGCAAGTTATCTCCTATTAAGAGAGAAATCTCCTTCAAGTAGCAAGGTAATTGCAAGGTAATTGCAAATCCTGAGAATTTATTTCGGAGTGGTGGGTAAAAGGCATATTGTTGGCCAGGAGAAAGCGGGAAGGGCAGAAAGGAAGGGAGCAAAGGGGACAGTCATTACCAGCAGCTCCTGAGGCTTGATGGAGTTGTCGGTGTAAATGCACAACTTTTCCGCAGTCAGCGGGATGGTCTCTTTGAGCTTGGAGGCCAGGAACATGCAGACAGCACCCAGGAGTTGCAGATGGGACTTAGGAGTCGGCACCCCAGCCAAAAAGCGGTCCAGGTAATTCATGGCCAGAGGGAAGACCTCTTCTTCACACTTCTGTTCCTCACAGACCTGCAATGGCAGTGGGAAAGGGTAGGTGGGAGGGAGAGAAAATAGTATCAGAAAAAGAGAAAAAGAATGAAAAAGAATGATCTATGGAAAAAAATTTTTTGTGGGGAGGCGGAGGGGAGTATCATGTGCGGTAAGAATGAAGACGAGGAGCCTGGGGTAAGTGGGAGTAGCCCCTCCGCGTTTGGCTGTTCCCGGGGAGCCTAAAAAAGGGGGTGAATTAAAGATCCAAACCCGGGAGTGAAAGAAATGCGCAGCAGGCGCCGCAGCCCCACGACGCTCCCTTTGGCTCCTCGCTCCTTCGCGCACTCTAACTCACTCACTCTCTTTTTTGGATTTCGTCATCTTTTCAAAAAATCAATAAAAATATTCTGGAGGCTCCGGGGGTCCACTTCTTGGTGGCGTCCGGACCCCCGGATCCCGCTCTATCAGTCCCGACAATTGGAAAAAATGTCCGGGGGCGTCCCTGCGGCCGGGGGCCGCGGCCGGGGGGGCGGGCGGGGAGCGGCGGGGCGGGCGGGGGAGGGAGGAGAGGAGGAAGAGCGCCGCAGCCTCGGCGGCGGGAGCCGGAGCCGGGGGGGACGCTTTCAAAAAATAATTAAAAATCGAGGCAATATCCTAGAGAAGCCCTTTTGGCGTGAAAACCCCAGAGAGGATCCAGGCTTCCCGAAACGGAGGTTTCGGGTGCCAGAAAGGTCTGTATCTCGACCCCTGGGGCTTCGGATCCCTGGGGGAAACTCGAGGGGTGAGAGCCGCGGCGGGAGTGTCCGGCTGCGGCCCACAAGGGCAGAAACTGGGGAACGCGCTGACGACCTGGGGGAAAGAAGGGACCCGGGACCCCGGAAAGAGGCCCGAGGGGCCCTGACCTCTCCTTTAGGGGTGCCCCGATATCCCCCCTACACACACCCCCTCCCCCTTCCTACCCCACCCAAATCTCCGCGCCGAGGAAGCTGGAAAGCCAAACTGTAAGTAACCTTCGTGAGGCGGGGGCCGGGAGAGGGCACGATTCAAAGTGGGGTGGCCGGGATACTGGGGTGCGAGGGCGAGAGGGCGACGTTTCCCAGCCTTTCCAACCAGAGTTTGCAAAGCAACATGGCGAAACCCCGGCAGGTCCAGGGCTGTGCATACGTGGGCACACGGCTCGCTCGGCAGAGCCTCGGAGCGAGGGGAAAGAAGTGGTTCTCTTGGGTTCCCCTAAAACACACGTTTCTTCATTGTGACTTCCGGGGCTCCTGAATTCCCCGTTTCTCTCCTTCTCCCTCCCCCTCCCCCCTGAAGTGCCAACGCGGAGTCGCGACCACACGCGGGGACCTGAGGGTAGGACAAACGCGCTCTGGCCTTTTGGGGGGCTCATTTTCTACAGTGGGTCCCAATTTCACGTTCCTACTCCCTTCTTCGCCGCACCAAAAGCAGCCGTGGCTTCGCAAAAGACAGGTCGGGATGGGGGTGGGAAGAAGAAGAGGAAGCCACATGCAGGCACACGCGCGCGGGATGCTTCCCCCACCCGCGCCCCAAGACAGCCTCGCTTCTCCCAGATTTTCCTCTCTCGCCCCCCGCACCCCCCCAATTAATCCCGCAAGGAACAGAAATGAAGCCTCGCGACTCGCCGAAGGGCGCGGGGTAACCTCGCGCACAGGAGCCGGGAGGCCGGCAGCAGGGTTGCCCTCTCCTGGCTTAGGGTCCCTGCGTGGGGGGCCGAGAATCGGGGGGGGGGCCGGGGCTCCTAGTGAGCGTCAACGGCAGACCTACCTCCAGCATCCAGGTGGCCACCATCCTGCGCATGTAGGGCTGGATGTCCTTCTGCACGCACTTGAAGTAGGAGCACTGCGGAAGGTAGCGCTCCTCGATGGTGAGCAAATTCTGCAGAACGCGGTCGTCCTGGAGCAGGTTTTGGTCCCGCACGGCCCTGCGGACCGGGTCCACCTCGCAGCACAGAAGCTCCATGGCTAGCTGGTGACCACTCGGTCCTCTGCTTTCTCCGGACTGAAAAAGTTTGTTGTTTTTTTTTTTGAGGGGGAAGGGAGAGGATTCCCCTTACCTCCTTCCTTTGGCTAAATAGGGGGTTTTCAGGGAGTAGGTGCTGGCAGAAAGAGAAGCCGGAGGAGAAGAGAGGAAAGGGTCGGGCGGTGGGCGAGCAGAGCCGCGGGGGCTGCCTCACTCGCACCAGTCCTCCCCTTCAAACTCGTCTCGCTCCCCAAGCTCGCTCTTCTCTGCTCTGAGGCAGTGACGCAAGCTGGCTGGGCAGTTAGCTCTCCTCCCTCTCGTCGCGCTCCCCTCTCTGGTTCCTCCTCCCCTTCCCTCCCCTCCCGGCCTCCCCTCCTCCTTTCAATCTCTCCCTCCCTCCCTCCTTTCCCCTCTTGTTATTAAGGAGAGCAGCAGCTGGCCCGACCTAACTTCAAACGCGGCCCCCCGCACCCCCACCCCTCTCCCTCCATCCAGCCCCGCACGCCAGGGGCCCCGGATAGGGGAACCCACAAAACCCCACCGATTCCTATTTATTCCCTTTAATTTCGCATGCTCTGTAGGTGTATCGTGCCAAAATACGACCCTCCAGCTTTGGCTTCTTCAGAACCTCCTCCTGCCCATGTACCCAAGACCCAGGAATGGAGGGTAGATTACTTGAAGATGGGGTGAGCTCAGACAATTTAGACACAGATCCCCTAAGTGAAAAATAAGGGGCATGGTTTAAGAAAATAGCAACCTCGCATACCCAGAGATAAAGGTTATGTCCCTGAAGTTTATGTTCCTGATAACTTCGAAGCTGTTTCAAAAGCCCGATTAAAGGGATCAGAACAACGTCCCCGCTGCCCCCCTGCAGATGTGTGTGGAGAGGGAGAGGAACGGGTGGGTGTTAGGAGGGAGGGGGGCGCTGCTTCTCCGGCTTGATAGAATGTGACCCTCGAGCAGGAACCATCATGTTCTTGGGGGCGCTACGAGGGCCAGTGGGCGACGCGGTGCAGCGCCCAGGGCTGCCGCAGGCCGGGGGTAGGGCTACCAGCGGTTCCTCCGCGGCCGGCAGCCACGCAGGAAAAACCCGCTTCCTTGTCCCTGCATCTGCTGACAAGCCGCCCGAGGTGTCTGCGCGGAGCGTGGCCACACTGATACCGCTTTCTAGGAAATGGCCCGGGAGGGGGAGGGGAGGGGGCGAGAGAGGGATTAGGTTTGGCTCCCCCACGCTCCCCCTGCGCAAACACCACCACCCCTTCCTTTCCCCGGAGGCCAAGGCTTCCACCGTCTGTCCTTCGCCCGCATCCTCGCCGACCCCTCCGGGTTCGCGCTGCACTCGCCAGCTAGGGCTTTCTCCCCGGGAGCGGGACTGCGGTGGAGACGCTGCCAGCGCAGTCGGGCTGACATGTGCTCTAGGCATCCTCGAGCCAAGGCTGTCTTAACAGGGGATATGATGGCGTTTCCTCACCTCCTTCCTCCCGCCACCCCTCACCCTGCCAGTGTATTTCACTTGGAGAGCAGGGAGCGCGCCTGGCGCCCCAGCGTGCTGGCCGCGCTGGCACGTGCACTGAGCATGGCGTGGCTCGGGTTGTCTGGGCACACCGAGGCCGACCAAGGGCCTCCTTCACCGCGAAAGGGGCCCGAACAGGGGCGAGGAGACAAGCGGGGCGGGTGGCGGGGGCTGGGTGAGCTGTACGCTGGGTTCCCTGCACGGCGGAGGAGGGGAGCGAATAAACCAGAGGTGCAAGCGATTAACTCGGGCCCGGGAACCAGCCCCTTTAAACGAGGGTGGGGCGGAAAGGGTGGGTGGGGAGCAGGGGGATATCGCTTTAAAAGGGTGAGTAAGAGTTTGGGGCGCCGTCTCCCCTCCCTCTATTTGCATAGCCAATAGCTCTGGGGCTCCTGCTACTGCGCGCTGATTGTTACCGGGCAGATTACTTTTTTTTTTT